ACATGGTCCACCTGTTTTATCCTAGTAAATGACTTAACCAGTATGTACTATTACCGATTCGCCCTTTATTATCTGTTCGTGAGAAAATGTGACCTTTAAATTATGTGAATCACTTCACGAACCTCTAAAGCAAGTCTATTCAACTCAAAACTTTTATGTTTTAGTTATACACAACATATATATTCAATACGCTGTTAGCTACTTCAACATTATTGAATCCCTGTACATCAACATACACGTACACATTTGTATATGTTTACACTCATGCATATAGTCCATTGTAATGCAACAGTGTGACGCAACTGCTAACTTTTTGTATTACGAATAGTTTAAATGACATGCTGTTTTGTGAACAAATACTATGAGGTTAGTTTTTTCCTTTTTTAATTTAGTCGATTGGTCAAAATAAAATCAATATGTGAAAATACTGCAAATCAATATTAATCTCTACAAACTTATAACACACGATGACATTTTATTGGTTTCATTTCAGACTTGTTTTAAAAACATTTTTGACTAAACAAGTAGTTTTGTGGAAATTCTTACCTAAAGAATAACTTTTGTAAGTTTTAATAAGATTTATATCAAGAATTAAAGTCACTGTAGCGTGAATTAACTGACATTTAAAGAATTTCATTCACTGTATCATGTTATTGAGCAAAGACTTTTAAACCCAGAATATAAGTGTTCAGTTCAGCCTGAGGTTTTAAGATGTAGTATGTGATTTCATGAAAATCGATGAAAACTTAATATAATGTTTACTAATTAGTTTTTTTTGCTTTTCCTACGAATATCTTGTTGATTTTGAATTGTATTTAAGACCACTGGTTATTTACCCGATGAAACGGTTCATAACATCCTCGCAAAGGAATATACTTTAACATTGTATTTCCTCGATATCAGTTCAAGGACGTGAATATCTTTCTTTAACCAAGAACGATTTCACATTTTAAACTTTTGTTAGTTTTTTATGTAGCTTGACACGTGACTAATATAATCGGTAAACTACAGTCTCAGTTCCAACTACATTAATAACACAATCTACGAGTTTTAACTGGAATCTTGACAAACCTATATCAAATGTGATCAGTAGTGGGTATATAGTTTATAATAACTTAGGTATTAGGTTTTGATTTAAAAATGAGACTTAGTAAGTAAAAACACTTTCCAGTAAAACATATTGAGATTTTTCTATATTTTGTCATGAGACTTAAACTATAGTTAGTCGACCTACTCTAAAAGATGCTATCATAAATATGCTCAGATTGTACTTGAAAAATTGTGGTTATTAACTAATTACCTACTGACAAATATTCAAACTAATATGGGAATGAGGTCGATAAAAGTAAATATTCTAGAATTTACAAAATTATTACTCCTGAAATTCATGTTATAAACAAATTTGGTGAAATGTTGTAATAAGTAAAAATGATTGCCATAATTCATTAACGCTTTTCTGCAAATAACACATTTTGAAGACCCGAGAAAATGTTTCTCAATTTCTCAGTAGTTCTTTTTTCTAAGTCACCCGAAACCTTATATTACATCACATTTATGGTTCACAGCAGGTATAGTATAAATATCTATATTATTTCTGATATTCTCACGTTTCAGTTTATTTATTGTAAGTTATATACATAGAATGTATTGATTAAACTTCAGATGATCAGTATATTGACTTCATCATTCAGTAATCGTTATGAAGAAGTAACAAATGGATACTGTGTTGCTATCACTACACAATCAGTGCACTAGGAAGCGTTTTACAGATTATTCATTGAAATATTGCTTAAAATATCCTATGAGTGGATTTTAACTAATCACTTAGTAATTCTAACCCTCACTCTTAGTCAATGGTGTCAAAATACTCATAAGATGACATATTAAAGGCGTACATTTGGGTACAGTATAATCTGTGTGGAGAAATATTGGTTTTGTAAACAATAAATGGATAAAACAGACGTCCAACTCCGTGAAATGTGTACATCTAGATGACCCTTTGTTCGATGTTATAAAATCTGTTCTTTGAAGATCAGTCTTGTGAAGAAATTAATAATCTAATCTTTTCAGGCATTTCAGCAGTTTATCACATCATTTATAGTGTCTTAATATTAATCAATATTTAAAAAGTATTATTCAGCCTAAACAAAACAAATCACTAGACAAGGTTTGTCATCGGCCCAAGAGCTCTAATAAACTTATGAGTATCAGATAACTGTTTGTATAAGGCCTACATTTCCTCGCTTTCCGCATCAAACATGACTGAACCTAAGATATCCACCCCTGACATCTTGTATGTTACTTCTGAAATACTTTACCGAATTTAGGTGCACTTATTCTGTAATGAAAGCTAATTCTATAGGTTATTCATCATATAAATTTAAAAAAACATATAAATTGAACCACATAATGTTTATTCTGATGAATAGCGTCTTATTCCTCCATTTTTATATAGCTTTGGATAACAAAATAATCGCTAAAGACGATCAGATTGAAGGAGGTGTAAAATGAGTTTCTGTCTTAACTTCAATATAACAAGTATAGTTATCATTACTGCACAGTGGTAATCATCTGTAAATTTAAGTTGTGAGTTGCTTAAATAGTGTAAGGTATGCAAAGTTCCTTTATAATAATACACGTGAACCATTTGTACATGTACTTTAGAAAATAATGTTCAATAAATCCTTATTCATCTGATGTGATGAGGAATTTGGTATTTTTTTAGAACATGGTATTCCGATTAAAACAATGATATAATTCTGTAATAGTTATTCATATTCATTGAAACTAAGTCTTATTTAATGTAGTTTTTTAGATAGTCTGTTTTTCAAAGTTTCTAAATGAAAAAAGTGGACTCACTTAATATTTTCTTCAAACATTTTACTGTTTCTATTAATTATAGGTAAATAATAACAAATAATAAGATATGTGACGCATGTCTGTTTTAACTAAACATCAAAATGAAATTTAATAAAATATAATAATAATATGTAGGCCATTCTTTAAACATTATGGGCCGAATTATATTGACAGTTGTTAGGTCAAATAATTTAGAAGTATACCTGTTTTTTAAGATGTTTACAAATTAGCCAATTTCCACAGGAATTTGCTATACCGGAGGTGAGATTAAATTTCTATGGACTCATCAATTCTCTAGAGATTTTAATTACAGATTTTAAACGAGTGTCAAAACAACGTTAAATGTAGACCTGAAATCCTGACTAAACTAATGAATTATTGTTACGAGATTATGAAAAATTGATGAAGGCATTATGAATTCCATCGGCAAAAGAAAACTTATTTCAAAGTTTGATGTACATTACCGGTAAGAGTACTATACTATTCTGTAGAATTTAAGTTTTATGTAGAAATCTGTTTCAAGTTATTCGTCGATAAATATAAAAGAAATGAATTGTATTTTAGCTCACTATACAATTCGACATCAAAACTGATATTGTAGGAATTCATTAAGCTACTGATCATATTTGTTTACCTATACATCATTTAATATATGTTGCAGATGTCTAATTATCGCTTATTTCAGTAAAGGGCTAATTACGGAAAAGAAATGTCTGATAAAATTAACTAAAGTATTAAGAGGTGAAAGCTGCTTTAAAACTTGACCTTAACTATAAATATTAAATTTACAGTTTCAAACAGATTTTATAACATTATATTTAAAACACGTATGTATCAATACACATGCACTTCATAGTGATCAATGTTGGAAATTTAAAACACATTGTACACTGAAAACCATTTGCTGCTTCGCCATTCGCTACAGATTTTCCGTATTTTTATTTTAGCAACCCATTAATGGAGTTTTCTATCTGGAACAGATTCACCAAAGGTTCTCTTGCACTTTAGAACTGAGTAAGAATTCCTCACAACTATACCATTTACTTATCAAGTAACTCGGATTATATATTCATTTGTATGACCGCGGAAGTTATGTTACAAATTTAAAGTCTGGAATGCTTCCTAAAATGGTTTTCAAATGAGATCGGAATTTAATATGCTCTTAAATTATGCGATAAGTTTGTAATGAATTGAACAGGTTTTTATAAATTTTAACACCTAAGATAAAATTTTATTCTAAACTAACGTATTTATTAATTTCAGGCATTTTGAATGTTGGTATAAGGACGAAAAGCTAGTTTACACAAAAATAAGTGATGAGAAATGATCCAAAGTGAAAAGTATTATTCACAGTAATTCCTTATTCTGTCAATACTGACGCAACTTTATGACTACTTAGAAACTGTCTATATAGAAATATATAAGTATTTAGGATAAACATAAGATATTACTTTCAGTTAATAACTCATGTGTTATAATGGAAGCCAATTAGTTAGTTAAAATAAAATAACTGAAAACGTGTGTGAAGTTGGCCTAACGATTGCATAAGACCCTTTTTGTTTGCAAGATATATATAGTGATATTGAAAAGAATTGAAATTACAATACTTTGAAAGTTGTGACCATAAAATGTGATGGCAAGTAAACTCATCTAGCTGCTCAAGAGATGGTGATTAATCCAGAAAAATCTATGTTAGAAAAGTGGCTACTGTTGTAACCACTCACAATGAAAAGTATTTGGCAGATACGGCTACTCAATAGTGCTAGATATATAGAGCACCATACATCAATCAGTAGCAACAACTATTCCGTAAATGTCAGAGACCATTAATTTCTATTCTGTCTCACTCACTGAAGAGTTCAACCAACAGAGCAACTCAGAAAATCTCACGATCTGGTGTTTAGTTAATCAAAGTCTACAATGTGTACCTAAAGAAAAAGTAGCTTTTTCAATAATTTCCAAGTTATTAATAACGCAATCGTCGTAGAACGCTCATCACCTAACCGTTTTCGATAATTCCTATGAATAAATGTTAAACATTTTGTGGAAACAAATTAATAATCCGGAAAACAAAGTTTGACAAACATATAGAAAATAGTGAGGTATCAGTGTGCATTTATGAACATAAGTGAATTCTTCAGAGGGAATTCAGCTAATGTTCAGGACTTAAGATAACTTCGATTAACATTTTGCTAATGATAATTATTAGTTCATATGTTTATTCTAAAATTACAGAATCCATATCAGTATACAGACTTCGCAACATATAAAAAGTAAGGGTATATTATTCTAAAAAATGTGATTCATATATTTATTTAGATTGATCATTTGTCAAAAAGGTGGTAATCGTGTGAAAAAAGTGTAATCAGAGGTGACAACATTTAAGAGTACAGTTTGATATCCGAGTATACAATATAACAGATATCAATTTCGAAAGTAAAGAATTACTTTGATGACCAATGTAAGAAAAACAAATGTACTCCAAGAAAGTGGCATAGCTACAACATCATGAGTGTTTTTGGAATGACAAATGTTGGACAGGATACGGAAGTTAGGGACCATTATTTTCTTCGTAAGAAGACTGAGATATCACGTATGCGAAGTGTAATTCCGGTCTCAGCACAGTATAAAAATGTTCATCTACAACTAAAAAAAAGAAAACGAAAACCAAGAGCACGGAACAACGACAAAAAATTACTGTGATAGGTCTTTGGTCAAATATGTTCATTATTCTAAGCTATCGAATATACACTTTTATAATAAAATAGGCGGGTTATTGTTCCAGGAGCCACTTAGTATGTAACCCAGAAGTCGGGGTGACTTAAATATCTATATTGTGTCCTGCTGCGAGAAAGACAAATCACAGAAATATTTGAGTACTAAGTCTACTACAGAATGAAACCTGTAAATCTGCTTCACATACATGGTAAAATCAAATCAAGATAATGATCACCAAATCAAATCCACCTAAATTTAGCAACGGTAAATTCCAGATTCCATGATGAGCAGTATAAGAATAACTTGTTGAGCTTCATACTGACACTGTTTTGTACATGAGTAAGATGTTTATTCTTATAAAACTAATACATTACCTTAGGATTATTGCCATTAAGTAAGGATCCATGTCATCCAAGATTCCAAAGGATTAAATAAATTTGTAAATAAAAGTAATTCAAAAGGACTATTTTGACAGTTTTTAAAGCAATTTCGGGATCTTTCTACAATTCTATTGAACTTATTGCTATTCACTGATTCTTGAAGATATATTGAAAGAACTTATTACATGAATAGCATATTAAGGGTACATATCTTGTTTCTTTCAATAACTCAACAGTATGTACTGATTACTTCTGTTTACTTTAAAAGCAGTGGTCCTAAAAGCCTGTGTAATAGGTCTGTCACGAGAGCTAGTATAAAACAACCAACTAAATAATAAATTAAAATTGTTCATCTTTATTTATTTATTTATTTATTTCTAGAGTGTACTTTTCATCTTAATGCAAAACATGTATGTAACACTATCTAGATTACAAGTTTCGAGGAACCATTCCTTAAAAGTTTACATGCATCACTGACATACAAATTTGTTGATAATATAAACAAATAAATAAATACATATATCATATAACATGGAATTGTATATTGCTACAAATGTCACCTGATTCATTTATAAGAAGAAGAATAGAATGGGCATATGTACGAATAGTAGTAGAACATTTATTCTTGGAAGGGAAAATAAAAGCATTTCCTATTTTAAACACCGATGATCAACCTCTTGACTAGATCACGGAACCATTGGAAACTTCGTGATGCTTCCAGTCACCTTTCATGTATTCACCTTGTTTATTTACTGGATTTGAAAGTTGACGAATAGGATTTGTACGAGGTAGATTACGTACAGATTTAGATTTGTTATCAATCATTAGAATGAATACATCTGTGCCATTGTTAATTGGCCGTTTAGCAACTGAGGTATCGTTATAATTTTGAAAAGTCCTACTCACATTACTATCAGTATTATCATTATTTGCACTAGTATTATTATTCATAGTAATATTACTATGACTAAATAAATTATTTGAATAAATACTTGACTTGGTAATGACTATTCCATCCATTTGGTTTAAATTATTGTTTCGAAAATAAGGCAAAATGTGATTACTCGCTGTGCGTTTTGATAAAATGTTATCATTATTATTATTATTAGCAGTATATGGATATCTCTTATGCTTTTGCATAATATACCTATCTAAAGTACAATATGCCTCCGCATTATCTGATTCAATATCAGTAAAGTCTGTCTGACTGCCAATACTACGTCTCTTAGATAAATATGTTTTTTTGTAGGGATAATGATTATTTCGTTTATCAGAATGTTGTTGATTGTTATGTTTGTTTGACTGGAGGATGTTGCATAAGGCACCATACGTGTTTGAATTGGTTGGTTTTGAATCTTTAAGACTTATAACACTACAACGACATTGTATAGTCCTGGCATTTATAGAAGGGTTGTTGGTTATTTGTAAACTGCTCCACGAACTACGCGTACCATTCGTACCATTTCGAGTATTTTTACTACTGATAATAAAATTTGTCATATTGTCACTCGTGTATGGGAGTAATTCCTTTTTTTCACTGGTTACATATGTTTTAGGTTGTTGGGCAAAAAATCCGCTAGAAACTGAATTAGAACTGATTTCTTCCATATCACCGTCATCATTATCGTCGACATTACCATTCACTTCATCACCGTCAATCGACGAATTCTGTTGACCACAAAAATGGAACAAGCTAAATGGTGTTATCTGCGCACCTTTTGTTGATAATGGAATTTTAATGAAACGATTTTTTATACAATATAGTACAATTAATATAACTACAATAAAACTAATTGTGATGATTGTGCACCATATTATTAATATAATTGAAAGAGATAGTGTATGTTTGCTTTCCGTTTGTATAGATGTCATTGTTTTCAATTGTTCAATAACTGAAATATTTAATAATGAGGATTCCGATCGTGATTCTGGTAATGATTGTTTATTTGAAAGTGAGTTCATTTCAGTTGAGTTGTCTTGATCAATTGCAGTTAGATCAGATTGTCTTAAACAACCGATCCCATCTTTGATTAATGGACAGGTATATGGAAATATCATACTTAACTTAAGTGAATTGTATTGTGATGTTGGCAGATCACGTTTGTTTGTAAATACTATAATAATTAAATTATCCGGTTTTGTTGGAGATCTATCATTCATATCATTACTGTTACTCACATCATTGTCATTAATTAGTGCACATTTATGACATTTTGTGTTTAAATTAAAAGTAATCGGTACTGTATTGTCTAGCGGGTTTAGACGAATAAATACAGGTTTATTAATTTGTCCTATTGCTTCTTCTACATCCGATTGAAAGTATTTTCCATTCTCCACATAATCGTCCGACAAATATAATGGCGTTTGGCCGCTCTCCATTTCAAATGATCTTAAATGCTGTAAGTCGATTAGACTATCTGGATGCATATATACCGTATTCAACAAGCGTACATCAGTAATCAATCCACCCAAACCTTGAAAGCATCTCGCATCTAATCGAAGCATATTCAAATTTAAATGAAATTCTAGTTGACCACTGCGTGATAGCAGCGTACTCGTCGGTGATGATGTTTGCAATAAATGACTCAATGCACCGGGTACAATTCCTCGAACAGATTCTTTATGACCTAGAACAAGCACACCAGCTTCTGTATTTCGTTCACAAGATATCATCTTTAATTTTGGTGACTTTTTATCTTCGTTTGAAATACAATTCACCATATCCTGAGAATCGTGTTCTATAAAGCATTTTATGGGACACTGATGAATGAGAAGAGAATTATAATTTGGATCTTTTGTATCCAACACATAATTGCTGATGGATTCATCATGAATATCTGAACTGTTTGATATTAAACGTTCTGAGAAGTGTTTGCTTGTTTGACAAAATTTTATGGTCAGTAATATAAAGACGCAATTAAAACTATGCAGGATATGATTCATTGTAATAATTCTGAAATGACCCAATAGATATTAAATTTATTACCTGGTTGTGTTTATCCAATACGAATTTGTAAGCCCCATATTTCCAAGCTGTTTTATAGATAAGTAATAAAAACGGTGTTAAATAAGAGCAGTTGCCATTGTTTTTGTCATCATGTTATTATAACAAAGTAGACGGATCCAATATATTTATAAGTACATGATTGCACAGGTGATTAGAGTTTAAATCGCAATTGGTTGATACTTCTCGACCAATCAAGTATTTGTAACCTTAAGGTGGACGACTGTAATTACAGTGAAGCATAGAATTGGACAATTAGTTATTTGCCAAAATTCGACAACAGAGTGAATGTGAAGTTATGAATATTTAGAGTAACCCATAGTGTTTTTGAATAAATAAAATGAAGGGGAGAATTTTATTCATGAATATTGGCAAGAGGTAATTCACGCAACTTCAGAAAAAAAACATTCTGCAAATAAAAAGAAAACAAAATAGGGTATTACAAAATAAAGTCCAAAGTCATATCTGAACATTTTTAAAGCCGTAACTCAATCAAACACAAATCAGATACCATGATTCGATTACGCATTGCTAAAGAAACAACCAATACCATCACTGAAGAAAAATAACACTTAAGAATAACAAATGGACGTGAACCTCACTAAAAAAAAGTAAACAATTATTAGGTCCTCGTTCAAACTAAAATAACCCCTAACTTTATTTGTATAAATCAAGCTGGTTTTGATCCGTAATAGTGAAATATCTTGAATTAACTTATCGTATCTATGTCATGAAGGGATTGTTTGACTTTAGACCAGACTAATAATTTTACGTCATTTTGACCAGATATATAAGTCAAATCCTGCGGACTGAAACTTATATTTGTAATAACTAGTTCTAAAAGAAACCTAAATAAAATCCCACGAATTTTACACCTTCATCGGATCTACAATAAACCTTAACATTCTCTTCATGTTTTCAATTATTAGAGACTGGGTTGGTATTTAAATTAAAAACAGATAAAGTCACTGACTCCCTGTATACATTAGAGGCATCTATAACATTATTACATCACAAAAATCATATATCGTAATTAATCTGTTAATTAACGTTAGATTTCTATATTTTCATGTCGCTGAATCTGAAAGGTTTATGAATGTTTTTTACATAATTACGCATACGTTAACGAAAGTATCTTAAATTCATTGTACTTTTAAACTGATTCAATTCAGCAGTTAAATACAGATTCATTTACTTGGCTTTGAATCTAATGTTTTTATTTGAATAATGGTTATACTCATTTGTCTAAAATGAAGTAATGTAACATCGTTTTAGTCCAACAGTGAAGCCACGTTTTTAGTCAGAAGTTTACTGCACGAACACGACAATTTCTAAGAATACTTAATGACTTAAAAATTCATGACCTATCATTTTTCAAATTATATAATGTCACCCATTGAGGGTGTTTTATGTCAACTACAATCATCAGTAAATGTATAACGCTTCCAAGTTATTCGTTTTTTTAAAATCATTCAAGTAGAATAAAGTTACCTTAATAGGATTTAACCAAAACGTACAAGATTATATTTGACACAGAAATCCAGGACCCCATCCTTTAAGTCAATACTGTCATTGAAATACAGGATCATAATTGCATTGTTCTGCTTTAACATTTTTAGTTACATCACCTACAAAACAGATCCTTTCTTCGTTAAGCTACATTTTATTAGTACAGAGTAACTTTTATGTTTCATTGTTCACTTCATCACCATCACTACATTTTTAACTAGTTTAGTAAATTATCACAACAACAGACAACACTTTTGCTTTGTTTTACAATACTTTTGAAGGCATAGATAATTCATTTAGTACAAATGAACGGAGAATAGCAATAATACAACTTGAAAATATTTACATGATACTGAATCATTCTTTTGGATAACATATATTATCATATATATGTATACATATATATCATACTATATCAGAGATACTAAATAAAACTAGCAAACCTTGTGCGTCGACTACCTGAACTAAAAGATAGCAAGGTGAACTACTTAGGCTTGTCTTTTGCAAAACAAATATTTTCAAATAGTCAGAATTGACAAATTAAAATGTGTTTATTAGTCAATATTGAGTAAATTATATATCAAGTATAAGTCTATACAACGCTTTATGGCTCGTTATTTCTTTTCACAAGAAAATTAATTAAAACTAAATTAGCTACTATCAGTTTTCACTTTTTTGAGTATTTCTGTTAACAGCTAGAAGTGAACTACAGAACCTACCTTCTCATATTCCGATGTTGTTGACTGAATAAACCTGTCGTATAGTATAAATCTCTACACTGATACACGAACCTAGCTTAGACAACTTGAAATGTTAAAATATCATTCATAAGGTTAATCAATCATGTTATTTATTTGATTTTACTGATTAGATTTTGTATTTTTCTATCACTAATTTTATGCAAATATTAGTCAACATAAAAATGAAAACCTTTCAGAGGTGTTTGTTCAGACCATTTATAAACCAACAGCGACTAATCAACTCAGTCACGAATATCAATAAATCCGACATCCAATCATGTACTGTTAACAAAAGTACTTAACAGTTTAATCCGTTGAGCAAACGTATATGATAAATATCAGATGAGTTTTTGTGGAGATTGTAGTGATTTCAGTGGTTAAGATCATAAGTCAGTTGAAGCTAGACCACCATGGAAAACCTGGAAGCACTGGACGGCCGTTTCGTCCTATTGTGAGACTCCTCAGCAGTTCACCACTAAACCGGCATCCAAGGGTGTTAATGTTTGGCTTCAACTAATCCGGCTCAGTGGTCTAGTGGTTAAGTGCTCGCGCGCGAAACCAATAGGTCCTGGGTTCGAATCTTGCAGGGGGCGAGGTCATGGATGCGCACTACTGGGGAGTCCCACAATAGGATGAAACGGCCATCCAGTACTTCCAGGTTTTCCATGGTGTTCTAGCTTCAACTGACTCATGATCTTAACCACTGTATATGATAAATGTTTAATTTTGAAACCTTGTCAGACTAGGTTTTACGAAATCAACTAAATAACTTTTTAAATTATTTCAACTTTTTCCCGCAAAATAAGTTTCGAGTTGGTCACAAAATATCATAAATTTAAACACATATATTGTACGCTAAGTTGTGAACTATGTTGACGTGTTCATAATGGCACTGTCAATTAATATTGTTTCGTTTTTCAAAATCATAACTAGATTGAAAGTTCATCATCATAACGTGGTTAATAGCTACATATTTACTTAAGTTAACGATTGGTTATAATTTTTGCATTCCCGCCGACGTAGTTCTGCAATTTGTACAAACGGATTGCGATGGCTTTACACCCTTTACTACAACAATCGTTAGTGATTAATCACTATTCCAAAATATGATATGAAGTTATGTAATATTTCAAGTAAAAAAATAGATTCTATATGTGTAATACAAAGTTGTTTTCCAACGAATGGATTAAATTTTATACATTCTAATTGATTATTTGTAATTTGGTAACTTAGATATCTGAAGATTTTATCCAACTGAAAATGTGGACATTTGGTCTATGGATCTCTGAATAGTATCTTGATTTTAATTATAGTGTGTTCCGATCTTATTTATAAAACAAATTCAATAATGCATATTCATGAGGGAATGTTAACTGAAAAGAAATACTTTTCGTTTTTCTAATAAATTTGTAACATGAGAATCTGTTTACGCAGTATGATTAAGTGCATTCTGTAGAATCACGCTAACAGTGTGTTTTATTTTGTGTATGATTTTCACTATACAAGTTATATTGTGCTTTCATACGAAAAATTTTCTAATCATTGATTGCCACGAAGCTTAACATTTACATAATTTAATTTTCAGGAAAATATCTAGGAAATCCAAACTAAAATAAAATTTATGACGTGTTTAATAACACTATCAACGTTAAATTATTATATCGGTTAACTGGTAATGAAAACATCTGAGCAATATTGTTATCACCGCTAGACTAGTAAGTTGAAGCCATCGGTAAATACTATTGATGGGTTTTAAACATACGAAATATTTACCTAGGACCTCCAAATCACTGCTCTTCTTTCCAGTTAATGTCAGTCAGTGATTCACTCCATCTCTCTCTTTAACTAAAACCAATCTTTTCTGTTTTAGATTTAATAAATTTCTCTTTCATCAAAACTGACCTTATTTGCTACTATTTATATAACTTCAAATCATGGCAAATATCAAAACTCTTTGGGAAACTATCAACCATTTTTGTTAGTTATATAATTAATCTCAATTGGACATGAGTTCCATCACATTGATAGTGGAAAAACTCCATAAATGTTTTCTTAACTGTGTATTTGTAAACGCACTCGGTGTAATTTTCTATGCAAAGAACGTCCAAAATTTCTTATTTATTTCTTAAGAAGCTAACCAGTTCTCACAAAGTAAGCACGTATTCATTGATTAGGAACAGAGACAATTCACTCTCAATTTTTAAAATTATTTTACTGAAATTATCCAAACATTTTATGGTTTCGACTATAACTGTTTGGGATAATCATTTATCAATTTATTATATTAATTTAATAATCGAATTCATGAGTCAGTTGCAGCTAGACCACCATGGAAAACCTGGAAGCACTGGACGGCAGTTTCATGGATGCTTATTGCTGGGGAGTCCCATACTAGGACAATCCTAACTGTTTTGTTATGATTTAACCTGTCCTTTTACGAAAAATTTCAGTCAACTCCAAAAATGCTAACCTATTGTTAAAATTTTATTCTAACATAATTGTACTTTACGAGTTAAGTACTATGTTTTCTAGTTGGTGGTAATTCTACGAAAATATTCACATATTTCAGAAAGAAATAAGTGGTCAATCAGTCTTTTGTTAGCCAAAAAATTAACTTTGCTTGAAATATTGGTGACAATTTACTTAGAAAATTTTCTGTTTAGTCTCTTCCATACAGTCGGGGCCCATGTCATGTTGAAACTATTTACTCTAACCGTGGAAAATTCTTATGAAAGCCTAGACGTTTGTTGTTGTTATGTTAATAGATGAGTGAAAACAGAATCTTAAAATCACAAATATACAGTAATGTCAATTGCTACATAGAAGTGGTTATTCAGTGTTAGAGGGTTGACAGCAGTCATTGGGAGGAATTAAACTCGTATTCCATAAAAAATGACAATCATTTTCAGGGGATGAAATTACACTGACAAATTAGAGCTCAGATAAACTTGTAAGTCATTTTGATATGCAATAGGCGGTATTTTCAATAATGGATCACCTATTAATAAGCAAAGTTCGGCTTTGTAAGTTTTAATGCTAAGTAAATTTCAGTGGTCCCACAGGCAGTATAAATTTCCTTACGAACTAGAACACAAATAACTGGTAATTTCCGACTAGCAAGGTACTTAA